GCACTTGAAAATGGAGAGTTTAGGGGAAGAAAAATTAATTGGCATGTGCATGGCGGATACGTGTCAGGGTTTTGCCTTGTGTTAAGTGAAATGTGATGCTCTGGTTGAAAAGGCTATTGTGATCATTGGGGGTAATTCCTGTAACTGGAGTAGGTTTTGTGCAATAGTTAGTCTGGCTCTCTCATTAATTGGTCCATAAAATGTGGTAGTGAAAAGAGTCATAGTATCTGTGCAAACCTGAGTTCTAGAAAATAGTGCTTGAAAAGCTTTGCCAGCTTAGGAGGTGATGAAGTGGTGGTCAGAAGTGATCTGTGTGCTTGTGTGGGCAACAAATTTCTTTGAAGAGTCTTAGTTGCTAATGTGATTTAGCAAGGTAAAGCTAGATAACTTTAATAGTATATGTGCAGATCTGCAGTGTGTTTGTATATATATTAAAGCAAGTACACGTTGGAATACTGTATTAGGTGATGGTGCTGATTGTGATGGTATGTGAGTCTGAGAACACAATACTTGAGACTAATGTTTTAAATATTTGGGTATTGTTAAGTGTTAATTGCTATTATAATTCAGGCAATCCAGAGGCTATAGGTAGTGATATCTTCTGTTAGGCCAGCTGGTCAATAAAAAGATACACTTCTTTATTGATGTGCTTTTCTTTCCTTCTGAAAATGAAACAGTAAATTCCAGCCCTTGCTCCCCTACTTAGTTTGCATTTACATTTGAGGTGGTTTGCTTTACTTTGATCTGAAGAAGAGCTTGTGTGCATAAGAGCTTATTTGCTCTTCTAAATTATTTAGTTGGATTACATGTATCAAATCTACCTCATCTGGACTGTTCAAAACGGGAGCAGGAAATGCCTATAGCCATTTGGCCCAGCAGGAGATCTGGATAACTTGTATTCTGTGGAGTTCTGTGTGTGGCATTCATCCTCAGGAAACAAATCTGCATCTGATGGGACTAGTTGATCTTCCACAAATAAGTAGAAAGAATACCTGTTACATCTTGGTTTTTGGATACAAAGTCAAAGCTTGATATAATCATGTCATAGTTTTGCAAGCATATTTTTTTAAAGTGGAAGTGTTTAACTGTAATCTAATCTCTCTGATCCAGCCATTTTCCTGTGCTAGCGCTACATGAAATATGACAATGCTGTAAAGGGTGGTCTATGAGCTGGCTTGGTATGAGGACTGTGGTGGGTTAACTTTGGCTTGCTGCCTCATGCCCACTCGGCTGTTCTCACTCCCCTTCGTTAAGAGCATGGAGGAGAAAATAAGATGGAAAAGGCTTGTGGGTTGAGATAAAGACAGGGATCAATTAATCACAGGCAAAACAGACTTGACTTGGGGAGGATGAACTTATTGCCAATTAAAAATAGTGGGAAGTGAGAAAGACAAAACCACCTGACCCAAACTCTTCTTCCCAGGCTCAACTTCACTCCTTCATTCCCAGTTTCTACCTTCTCCTCACCAAGTGGCACAGGGGGGATGGGGAATGGCTGTTGCAGTTAGTTGATAACACTGCTGCTCCTTTATTACCACAAAGGTTGATAGACAAGATGATTACTAAGAATACACTTTTCTTCCTTCCCTGAACAATCAAGTTCTTGTAACCACATGATTATTTGGCTACTTGCAAGTAGCAGCACACCTAAAACGGAGAGCAGCTGGGGGAAAGCAGACTGTGGACAAAAAATGGTTAGCCATCAGAATTGCGGGTGTGGACTAACTGCAAAGCAAATAGTGGAGCAGACCACTGACCTGGGGGCGGATGCACAGCAAAGCATGTTTCTTTTTCGTCTATTGAGACAGTAATTATAGAAAATAATATGCAGATTGCTTGCAATGGGTAAGTATAGTTTATTTGATATATCTGTGTGTAGAGAGAGTCTGGGGAGCAGGGGGGCAGAATCTGTAGCTTAATTTCCCCGAACTTTTTGTTATGTCTCCTTTCGTAGTGCTCATATTCAGCCATATCTCTCTGTACTGAAAACAAATCTGTAACAAGAACAGTAGCAGCTATTCTTGTTTGGAAAACTGTCATTGAAAGCAACTGTAGATTCTTGGGGATTGCTCACTGGAGGCTCTTGAGACCACTAGGAATCCAGGTCACTAGAGGATTGCTTTAGCAGATGTTCTGGTGAATCAGCATAGAACTTGTGCTACATTTGTATGTTGATTTAAGTAATTCTTAAATAATCAGAACATCCAGTTGTGCTCAGATGTCTAAATCTCGTTTTTAACTTACCTCTTCAACAACGTGGCTGTTAACATTGTATTTCCATTTACGCTCCTAGCAGATTTAAAACATGTCAGTGGACAAATGATGGACCTTAGACCCTGAAAATAAATTATTTTCAGTAACAACTTTTCAGATCTTCAGGCAATAATATAAAGGCCGTAGTAATGCATAACTAGGTTGGAAACTAGTATATTGCTTTGGCTGTAGTCCTCTTTTGTTGGCACTAAAGCAAAATGCTTGACTTGATCACACTTGTATTTTGTTCCTGGGACTTTTCACTTGGAGTTGTGCTTTTGTGGACTTGATCTGCTCCATGTACATTCGGCAGATAAGTGCAGAGGGGGGAAGGGTAGACTTAGTCATGCAGTGCTAATAGGACTAGTATAATAATGCTTTATTTGAATTTTGTTTTATTCGTAAAACACTGCTTGCACTATCTTTGCATATGAATTGTCTTGTATGCCAGTTGATTTTGCTTAAAACTTATTTTAGCCCTGTTTTTTATGAACTAATTATGTATTTAGAATGGTTGCTTTGCCTATAGGTTAACAGCTGAATCCAGATCTGAAACTACGGAAGAAGAAAATAAAGAAAAAATCACGATTGAGAAGAAAACACAAAAGAAAAAATATACAACAATGTATGTATCTTCTAAGCCAACTCCTGAAACAGAGTGTGCTCAGCAATAAAACTTTCATTTCTGGAAGGAACCTGAACAATTGAGAGTCCTGCTTCAGCAGAAGAGTAAACTTAATGTCACATACAAATGTGCAGGTTCCTAACGTAGATATTGGTCTTCCTTTTTCTATGATGAGTATGGTCACTTTAATGAGAGTTGCACTTTTGATATCTTACCTTCCCAGAGGGCACTGGTTAAGCTCCCTGGCAATGCGACCTGAACTGTTGCCTTGTCTTGAATCTAAGTCTCTAAACGCAGGTTAATCGTTACTTGTTTGAAGCACAGTGCTATTCTGAAAGATGAGTACTTGCTACAAAGTTTTATTATATGGTAAGACAGGAGGCAACCCTGAGCAGGACAGACTAGACAGTGTTGATGCACAACTCAACTAAGTCACGGCTCCTGAATTCCTTCCTGGATTCAGAATTTTTAATATTTTTCCCCCAATGTGTAATCGTTAGACTTTCAGACTGACTCGATTGCAAAGGTGCATGGGAATCTTTTTATGCATTTCGTGGGACGGTCTTCTTTTGAAACTATAAATTTTTGTATTTGTGTTAATAATGAGAATAAACCTTTCTTTCTCTTCCTTTCTAAAATGTAGCCTATATTGCATTTGAGAGAACATTTATATAAAGCTGTCAATTTTTTGACTGAGGGTGAGGTATTTAGTAGAAAAGGTCTGGGAGGTTTGGGGTTTTTTGGTGTGGTTTTTTTGGTTGTTTTGCTTTTTAAAAGAAGTATCACTCAATAAAAGCTAAGAAACTGTACTGTATGTGCTCTGTGTTGTGTTTTCAGAAGACAAATCTCAACATTCTGATGATACTTCACACAGAATAATTCAGAGGAGAACACTTAAGGTAGCTCCAGTAATCATTTATTTTCAGTGTTTATATGGAAGTTTAGGATGACTTCACTGGACTCATTGTAGTACAGTTTAAGTTTCCTCTAGTGAATGGCTTAGCCACTTTCTAAGTAAAGGACCCAGTAGTTGAGGTGAAAGCTCTTTAAGACTTTTTAAACCCATTATAAAAAAATATCTTGGGGAAGAGTCTTAGAACCCAGTGGATTTTAGATTTGACAGCTTGATCTACTGTACGTTAACTTACATCGGTACTTTGGAATCCAAGTCACCTAATATGCTTTTGTATTCAAACAGATGCTACTTCAAGCTCATGTCTGATATTATAAGTCAGTACCAAGAGATAGTGAAAGTAAACACGTTATATCAATTTTCTATTTGTTGTATTCTAGCTTTGGTCAAATCACTGTTTTATTTGGTAGCTTGCACTATAGTAATGATGCTGACTGTAATTTTCCCCCCATGACCACCAGAACACTTCCAGATAATGTACAAGTCTTGAGAAGGTGTTGGTTGACAGTCGGCTTAACATGAGCCAGCACTGTGCCCACGTGGCCAGGAAAGCCAACGGCATCTTGGCCTGTATTAAAAACAATGTGACCAGCAGGTCCAGGGAGGTGATCATCCCCCTGTACTCGGCACTGGTGAGGCCGCACCTCGAGTGCTGTGTTCAGTTCTGGGCCCCTCACTATAAGAAGGATGTTGAGATTCTGGAGCGTGTCCAGAGAAGAGCCACAAGGATGGGGAGGGGTCTGGAGAACAAGCCTGATGAGAAGCGGCTGAGGGAACTGGGGTTGTTTAGCCTGGAGAAGAGAAGGCTGAGGGGAGACCTCATCACCACCTACAACTGCCTCAAGGGAGCTCGTAGAGAGGTGGGTGCTGGTCTCTTCTCCCAGGTGATGGGGATAGAACAAGGGGAAGTGGCACCAAGCTGTGCCAAGGGAGGTTCAGGTTAGAGATAAGGAGGAAGTTCTTTACTGAGAGGGTTGTCAGAAGCTGGAACAGGCTGCCCAGGGAGGTGGTGGAGTCACCATCCCTGGATGTGTTTAAGGAGCAGGTAGATGAGGTACTTAAGGATATGGTTTAGTGTGTAGACAGGAACGGTTGGACATGATGATCTCAGAGGTCTTTTCCAACCGAGCGATTCTGTGATTCTGTGATTCTGTGTGAGTTGAGTCATCTTTTGTAGAAGTTGAATGGGGTTTGCTACAGGTTTGCAGTGGGGGCAGAAGACAGTCTCTTGCTTAAAAACTTATAGGTGGCTTTTGATGAAATTTCTAATTGTATGTGGCTTTGAGTCTGTTGAATGTGTCTGTCTGAGACCACTGGATGTGCTTGCCGATGGTGATGCCGGTTCAGAAGTGATGCCTAGGAGTTTAACTATGTGCACGTGGGTGACTTTAGCTCATTGGTCATTAATCTCAACAAATACTGAACTGTAACATTTTGAGTGACAACAGGAGTGACCAGAGATGTGGTGAACTAAATATCAGTGAGCAGATGTGGCTTGTTGCTTTCCAGTGCAGTTTGAACTTGCTATCAGTCCATTTCTATGTAGTGAAATTTAGGCACAGCCTGGTGGCTGTTACTTGTGCTGTTTAACAAAATAGTCATGAGTCTGTGTTTCTCTGAATCTTATTATATCACTTCATCAATCTTAGAAGTTTACTACCTATCCAAATCCTTCAGTCTCTTACTAATGAAGTCTGCATAAGCTGAGTGTCTTCTTGTTAACTTTTGTTAAGATCACAGAATTGCTCGGTTGGAAACGACCTCCGAGATCATCATGTCCAGCCGCTCCTGTCTACCCCCTAAACCATATCCCTAAGTACCTCGTCTACCCGCTCTTTAAATACATCCAGGGATGGTGACTCCACCACCTCCCTGGGCAGCCTGTTCCAGCTTCTGACGACCCTCTCAGTAAAGAGCTTCCTCCTTATCTCTAACCTGAACCTCCCTTGGCACAGCTTGGTGCCACTTCCCCTTGTTCTGTCCTCCATCACCTGGGAGAAGAGACCAGCACCCACCTCTCTTCAACCTCCCTTTAGGTAGTTGGAGGTGGTGATGTTCCATGATGTTGCAGGAGACTAACACACATCCATGAAACAGTTCTTGCTCTACTTGAATTTGACTGCACGTGTGAACATGAATAATGTACATTGAAGAAATCATGCTTTTCATGCTACAGGATGTTAGAAGAGAATCTTTTCTGTGCAAATGGTGAAAGTTGGCTTGCTTTATTGTCTCTACACTGAGATGCAAATAGCATAAAACAACTGAAGCACATAATTGTTTTAGTTAGGGGAAAACCTTCAGTAACTTGACGCTGGATGCGTGTACTTTGAATGGGCATACTGCAAGGTAGATTGTCTACTGAGACAACTGTATCTTAAGCTGCTTGGGATATGAAATTTTAATCTTTTTTAAAAATTGAAATAACTGTTGCTACAAACAAAACAAGGGTGTCATTTCAACTAATTAATAAAACTGTATAGGGTTATCTGGTAACCCCTAAAAACTACTGCTCTGCCTGTACTGCTGTAGTTTACTTTGAGCGTGTACTCTTTATCATCTTAGATAATACATGGATGCTTACAAATCTTTTACAGAAGCACAACTAGCAGGTGGGGGAAGATGTCTGGAATTGAGGATTTTGTTGTGCCATAACATACTCAATGTACATTTAAGCTGTGGGGTTTTATGTCTCTTTAAGTGCATATTTTGGATATTTTATTTTTCCTTCTGTTTTTTTTGCTTTTCTGCAAGTGTACACACAGATTTTGGCATAAAATAGAAATTAGAGCAAGTTGAATGCAACTACTTTATTCTGATTAAATCCTGTATAATGAAAATTAGCATAGCTAAAAATAATTAAACAGTTAGCAATTTACAAGATGTTTTCTGGAATTGATAGCAGTACTAGAAGAAGCAAGAATTCTCTGCCTTCTCCCTCTGCCTGCCCCCCAGCCCCCAAAAAGTAAGTTCTACCTGTGAATTCCCTAGACATAAATATTTTTTTAATCCTTTGGGGAAGTAAGGAGTCTCCTACTTACCTGTAAATACCTTCTGCCTTGAAAAAGGCTTGAAGAAAAGACGGTAAGGTGTGCAAGGGCAACAAATGAGTCTGTCCACTATTTTCTGTGGAATGGTAGCTGCACGAATAAACCAACAAATACTTGGAATAAAAACCGGGTGTAACTTATTTACCTTAATTCTCTGGACCCTTGTTGGGGTTTTTCCTCTGCTGTAGGAACATAGGAATTTAGGGTTACCATGCGTGCCTTACTCTGGACCCATTCAAACAGAGTAAAGATTTTTGTTGCTCAATCCATCTGTTAGAAGTTACAGTTAGGACTCTTTCAGACACAGTCAGGCGAGGCAACTGCCTTGGCTGACTTAGGGGAAAGTGGTAGTAGGTGCTAATAGCTAATGAGTTGCAAAAGCATCATCATGAAAGTATGGCAGAAGGAAGCAAGAGCAGATGTGTGAACTGCTGAGACCTCTGTATGGGGGAAGGGTGGTGGCAGATGGGAGGCAGCAATGGCTGCAGAAGCTTGGGCCCTTGAGTGAGGGCACTTGTGGTGTGTTGGGGTGCTAAGTAGCAGGGGCGTTAGCTCCGAGGTGGAGACAGAGCTGTGCCCAAATGTGCGGGGTTATTTACATGTCTTGTACTCTTTGCAGAATAGGATCTCTGAGACAGAAAAGGTTCAGGGAATCAGAAAAGTATTGCAAATTGAACCCTAGTTTGAAGGTGAAACGTCTGAATCATTTAGTTTCAAAATATAGTACCACTGTATTAATTAGGTTTCTTAGACCAACAAAATGAAGTATGTTTCTAAATGAGTGCTAGAAAGGAACAGTTTTCCTTGGGACTTCTGTATTATATGGAGACATATTGATGAAGAGCAATGTAGAACAAGAAAACAAATGCAAGTTGTGACCTCTGGGCCAGAGAGTATATGGGAAGGGGTGATTTGCTGCAGCAGGGATTCAGAGGAGTAAGGAAGCTGGATATCATATTGCTGGTTGGGAAATTGTTACTCAAAAGAAATAGTAAACTAAAAGATGAAGTGGTTCAGCCTCAAAATATTTTTTGATAAATAATAAAGATTGGATGTTCCATGGAAAAGAAAGATTTAGGATTCTTA